AAAGAAAGAAAGAAAGAAAGAAAGGAAGGAAGAAAGAAAAGAAAGAGAAGCCCAAAAGGAGGCCAATCAAATCCAAAGTTCAACTATCACCAACATCTGAAGCCTTCCCAGCTGGCTCCTATTGGCTCACAAGAGGCTACTGTGAAATAGCTGGGAGATTTGTGAATTGGTGTCACTGAAACCAACCAGAGTGGAAGTATTTACACAAAGGAAATAGGCAAATGGTACAAAACAGGACTTTTTTTTTTTTTTTTTTAAGAGCCAATATATCAGGATTCCCCAGCTAAAGCACTGGTTAAACATTTAATATCAGTGTCTATGATGATAGAGGAGCGTCAGGCTAGCTTCCTTCTCTTTGACATTATTTCGTAGCTCTAACTTCACACCAGCTGGTGAAGTAGCTTTCTGATAAAACCTGTAATTGGCCCGTAATTGCCATGGCAAAAGCATATAGACTTCCAGTTAAATTCTGTCAAGGTCTTTGTCTACTTCTATTTCCTTCCATCATATGTGGGTTAGACAGTCAAATTCATTGAACTAACTTTTAAGAAGGAAAGGTCATAATTCCTTTGCATGTAGGTGATTTCCAAATTCCCAAGGACCACCTCACAGTTATTAAACATCCTCTGCAGGCTGAGAAAGTGGTCCTCAAAAGTGCCCAACTGGGTGAGCCGGTTACTTGTGCCTTGGCAAACTGCAAAAGAACAAAAGGGAAAAAGATATCACATGAAATGCCAAGTAGAGTAGCAGAAATAACATAAAATGTTCACAAATTTCAACAAACTTTGAGAGTCTCAGTGACTTACAATATTAATTCTGGTAAAGGGTCACTCAAGACAAATATGGCCAAAAATGTTTATCTAAGGTATACAGTTCATAACAAGAAATAGCTCATCCCTATAATGCATGGAATCTTTATAAAATGTTAAAAATTCAAGGGGAAAAGGGAAAATTCTATGAAAATCTTTAAGACACAATAGTCTTTTAGAGCTTTGGTAGACAAAAACATATGTATCATTAGATAATAAGATAATTACAATGTTGAATTAATAACTATATAATGAATGTTTTACATTACGACAAAGACAGACTATCACATTACTGTGAGCCCAAAGGATATTTACAAACATAACATACGCTAGCCGATATTTTCTGACCGCGGTGTTGTACAACTTAAAATCAGTGACAAGAGTGTAAATTAAAATCCAACTGGCCAGAGATTAAAAATATTCTTCTAAACTAATGCATCAAAGAATAAATCAAAGGTCTACTTATACATCTAGAAAATAATGAAATGGCAAGAACACACTCAGGTACTGAGAAACCAATACGTCCTTCTATTTGTCCACACTCTATGTGAATCCACGGTGGAGACACAATTGTACACAGTCTTGGCATGCTCACCTCCCTCATGTTTTAACTTAATACAAGAAGTAAAATGGGGGACAAAGTTAGACTATGGAAATACACTTGACAGTCTATATTTAAAAGCAAAGGAGATTATGATAGTCATAGCTCTTTGAAAGGCATGTTTGAGCAAGCATAACAAAACAAAGAGGTTTGGGGCTTTTGAAGCAGGGAGCTTGTTAAGCGACTATACTTTGAACCAAAATTATCATAAGAGTGAAGAAATATGGCCTCTGGCTTTGGAGGTTAGATTCAGAACTAGCCAGGTTCTTCTACATGTGCGAAGGCATGGCTGCAATCCGTAACCAGGTGGCTGAACGCAAAACCAAGGCCAAAGTCAATATGCAGGTACTTTCCTCGGAAACTCTTTCTAAATTTACATTTCCATTTTATAGACGTCTTTGTTCCCTCCCCATGGGAACTGCTCCGAAGGGCACCATCTGACCGTCTGCCCTCACATTTTGGTGCCACGGCCGTGAGCACATGTTGAGACACCACATTCTCAACCCAAAGCATTTACACCAACATTAAAAATGAAGCAATCGCCACATCCTCTGCAACTCCGTGGGGATTTCCCTCCTCTGCTCTTCTGTGGTCTCATTCAAATCTGCGGTAGAGAGAACGCTCGCATGGGAACTTCGATAGTCGACAAGACTAAACCCCTATCTACTGGCTCCAGGGGCAGAATGATTCCATATTTCTTCCAACTATAACACTGGATGGACCCAACATCTCGGGGCTGCTTTCACTCAGGAGTATGGGCCGCTCTGATTGCAACCTCACTTTGGGACAGCTGTACACAGTTGGGGCCAGACTAATCACATAGATGGGGCCAGACTGCTTTCCCAATTCCAAGGTCCTTAAAGATGCCACCACCAATGTAGGTATGGGGTTGTGACAACAACCCATGACCTTTCAGTCGACACACGGGTAAACAAAAGCTGCTTTCCCTGCTGGGAGACTACGGTCCCTAAATTTCATCCTAACTGATTGGCTATCCTTGAAGTAGCTCAGTATTGGTCACGCCTTCATCCCAGCCAGGTGAACAGCATCCTAGAACTCAGGGTTGGAGTGCGTTTCAGAAGAGTTTCTTCAGTTCACAGAGAAATGAAAAACAGTAACGATTGCTCTCATTTTAAATGATAAAGGATTTCAGCTTGTAAATTTCTCTCAGGGGGCGCCCCTGACTTTTCATTACTAAATCAATGACAAAGTAACTTTTGTCAGTAAAAAAAGAAAACATGCCCTTTAAGTTTAGCCTGTTACATCATAGCAAAAATAATTTCAAAAATGCTGTATTTGTGCTTTCATTCAGTCATTCAAAAAAGTGCCAAATGAGCTCCTAAAATATTTGTTTGATGAATCTCTACCATCATCTGTCATTGTTTACAATTAGCATGAACTACTTCTATATTCAGAAAACCAGATGCTGCTATATTTGGAAGCAATAGCAGCATTGCACAATATTGATATGAACCTTTATTCATAAAACATTTTGGGAAGCAACTAGACAACTTGTGTAAAGAAATAAATATGCTTCAAAAAAGCTTCATGCAAAATGTTTTTTTTTAAATGATGGCAAAAAAAAAAAAAAAACCGCAAAAAGCCCTAAATGTTCAATTTACTATCCGCATTAGTATTCTTTTTTTTTTTTCAAAGTTTATTTATTTTTGGGACAGAGAGAGACAGAGCATGAGCAGGGGGGGAGGCAGAGAGAGAGGAGACACAGAATGGGAAACAGGCTCCAGGCTCTGAGCCCCATGTGAGAGCCTGATCGCGGGGCTCGAACTCACAGGCCATGAGATGGTGACCTGGTTGAAGTCCGGACGGCAACGACTACCCAGGCGCCCTTTTTTTTTTTTTTTTTTTTGGTCACGTGTATTCTTGAGAACAAGAAGGCAGCTGATACGCTGCGTGATTCAGCGTAAGACAAGTCCGTCTTGAATTCTATTCCAGGATTAATTACTAAAGGATCAAGAGAAATCATTACAAAGGTGTTTCTTCAGGGGCTTTCTCCTGCCATGAGCCCCAAAGGGGATGACAGTGTCCAAGTGAAATCCAGAGTGACAATCAGAATGATTTGACCTAGGTTTCCTGATTCAACAAAGCCTAATCTTTGCTCTCTCTTTATACCAAATGTCTCATATTATGACTATAAAGCAATGGAAAGATTTAAATGCGAGACCACTGAATTAGTAAAATTATTATGTTTTAAATCACAAAGCAGGCAGATTTAAGACAAAACTGCCAAGAGCAAGAGCTTTTAAATTCATCCAGGAGAAAGTTTTTGTTTAGCCACTTCCTCATGATGTGACCCTGGATGACTTCTCTAAGCTCTCTGCGGCAGGCTTTCCTCAAGTAGCAAACGTGGTGAAACTAATACTGACCTTCAGAACTGTTTCAAAGGCTGAATGAACACAAAAGCTTTCAGCTTTCTTTTGTTAAAGTTAACTACTGAGAACTGTGACTGTGATACAAGATGCAACTGCACAGATGTTAGTGGACCTCTGTGGACATAAACTTGCCCGAAGGTATTGCCTGAACTGGGAATATTTGTATCTGCAGATAACCTGACTCAACTATTGGGCATTAGATTACTCTGTCTGTAGAATATGTATCAGAAAAGGAAGGGAAAGAAAAGGAACACGTTTAATGATTTCATTAAAATACACATTGAGGGGCGCCTGGGTGGCTCTGTCAGTTAAGCATCCGACTTCGGCTCAGGTCATGATCTCGTGGTTTGTGCGTTCAAGCCCCACATCAGGTTCTGTGCTGACAGCTCAGAGCCTGGAACCTGCTTCGGATTCTGTGTCTCCCTCGCTCTCTGCCCCTCCCCTGCTCGCACTCTGTCTCTCTGTGTCTGTTTGGTATCACTTTAGGGCTATACATTTGAAGCCAAGACAATTAAAAGTGTATCCAGCTCCATACAAAATGCTATTGATTTGCTCTACCTCTTACAAATCTGAAGACAAGTTCTACTGAATCAAGAGCAGCAGTCCCCGGGACACAGGCCCTACAAAGCACTTGGCTTTTCATCCTCCAGTGTTATTATGAAGATTCATAAACGGGCAGACAAGCTGAAAGAAAGATACAGTGTGAATATCCTTAGATTAGCCTTGTGTTCATTTTGTCACATATCTATCCATCTTACTTTTTTTTTTTTTGATGCGTTTTAAAGTAAGGTATAAATGTCAGTACATTTCACCCTGGCATACCACTGATCGCAGCTCAAGATTAATTTACAGCTATTGTTGTTGTTGTTGTTGTTGTTGTTGTTGACATCATCCACAACTGTGCAACATCACAGTACAAACTGTGAGGTAATCAACAGTAAGTATAGCATTTGAGAGTTTCAACAAATGCACACACCCACATAACCTGCACTCCTACCACCACATAGAACATCATCCATACGGGGCCCCCTCATGCCTCTTCCCAGGCAATCCTGGCCCCTGTATACCATAAAACACACGGTGATTTGTTTTCACTAAGAACAGTCCTGCCTATTGTAAAATTTCATATTAATGGAATTACGTAGTCTTGCCCTTTTGTGTAAGGCTTATTTCATAGTCTACTATTTAAAAAAAATTTTTTTAATGTTTATTTTTGAGACAGAGAGAGAGAGAGAGCACGAGCGAGCGGGGGAGGGGCAGAGAGAGAGGGAGACACGGAATCCGAAGCAGGCTCCAGGCTTTGAGCTGTCGGCACAGAGCCCAACACGGGGCTCGAACTCATGAAATGTGAGATCATGACCTGAGCCGAATGGACACTTAACCGACAGAGCCAGCCAGGTGCCCCGAGACAAGTGTTTTATGGGAAGTTATCTGTGTATTATCCTTGGGCATCTAAGGCTGATCCACAGTCTGGTCGTTCTTTTTCTTAAGAACCCCCCAGTTTATCTTAACTGAAAATAAAAACAATACGCCTGCTTGAAGTCTTGGATCCCCCTGACTTTATGGGTTAGGGCCTGTGGCTTTCCCGTGTCATTATGGGGGTGGACATCTCTCTTTCCCCACAAGCCTGGGCAAATATGTCCTGCTGATTAAGACACAACATTAAAACAAGTTTCTCCAGATTTTCCCAAACCCACTTAGACACTTCTGAAATTGCCTAAGAAAATTTATAATTGTCTTAATTCGTTGTTTTCTCAACTACATATTAATGTTTGCCAAAGCAGTTGGGCTCTTGTAAATCTCTCCCCTGGGCCTCCTAAATTATCTCTGCTTTCATCCGTGCCCCATTTTCCACAGAACACCTTGTTTTGAAGCAGAAATCACATCACACTAT